AACACACGCACCACCACCAGCCGACAACCCCCCGCCCACCAACCCCCCCCCCCCCCCCCCCCACCCCCACCCCCACCCCCACCCCCACCCCCACCCCCACCCCCCCCCCCCCCCACACCCACACCCACACCCCACACCCACACCCCTTATTTTCTTCTTTGATGGTATAATAAAAAAAAAAGACAAAGCTTTATTTTTGTGTGTTATTTCATTCTTATTCAACTAGCATCACACTATAATATTTGATGATGTTTTCATTCACATGTATTTTTGTTTTTGGTTGTTTCTTTATTTTTTTCTTATCTTATCTTTTCTTGTGTCTTCTAATTACCTAATGCGTCACACATAGATATATACATAAATATATATTAAAGACACCCATCCAATTCGTCTTTTGCCTATGGGAAATTTATCCGTTTGTTGATGAAATAAAAAAAAGGTGCTAAGATTGTTTGATTTTTTTTCTATTACTATTATTTATAGTACACTACGCGTGCCATTTTTGTGAAGGATTAGCCATTAGAAGAAACGTGGAAAGAAAAAAAAAGAAAAGCCAAGAGAAAAACAAAGAAACAATCAAAACTAAAAGCTTCACGTGGATAAAAATAAAACCCAATATTATACACATATGTTACATAAAGATTTTTCATATCGAAATTTTATTATTATGATAATACGGATTTAAATTCGGCTATTGGATGTGCTCCAAAAAAAAGTATACCAGACCGATGAGTTATCATAGCATGTGCAGACCTCAGAATTATTCTAGCAAATGCTTTCTATTAAAACTTGATTTTTACTTTAACAGAAGGATTTTTTAAGCAAACTTTTTTAGAACAAAGTTATTCGGTCCTTCAAAATGCACATTCTGTCCATCATTTAGATCTAGTATTTCCATACCAGAGCATACATTTATATGATTAATTAAATAATATACTAAAACCAACTAAATCAATGAGTGCATGTTGTCGTTCACATGCGACGAACTGATCTGTCACCGTTCTGTTTGATCAACAACTGAATTAAATCAGCTTGAAGAATGTGAAAATAAAATATATAAAAGCTCTTACTAGGTATTATATTTTCAACAAAGAAAAGGAATATTGTTAGAAACAAACTATTCCCATATTAAATACTTTAACATGAAATAAACAAAGAATTCTATACGCATTAGTAAAGTGTTTCTTTATGAGAAACATTATGCAATGAGATATTGGTTGTTTTAAGAATTGATGTGTTAAATTCTACCTTTCTTTAAAATTAAAATTCAGTTCCTTTTAGAAAATATTATTTGAAGCATGTGTATGTTGTACTAGGTCAATTTGAATACAGTGAATTATGTAGTGATATGATAAGAAAACAAAGGCAGCGCCATAATAGCTAGCTAAATTACCATAAAGTGAATATGTAGAAAAATATCACGATTTGGAAAAAAAGAGGCAAAAACACAATAATTCGGAAGGTTTATGCCCAATTTGGAAGATTTTGCAATCCTGTCTAGTAGATCTCACTAAACTGCTCGTGAAAACGTCATCAGAAGAAATTTTTAGGAACTAAAAACACCGTTACATAGAGAAATATTTTCTCTACATACGTTGTACCGTAACATCTTTTTCGATTATTTAAATTATAAAAGTTATTAACAGAATAAGACAGAAGTTAAATTTCATTCCCTCAATCATCTCTGCCTACTCTATTTTAAAAAATATTTCAGATTAATTCATAAGTTTTCGTTTTGATAGACAAGAGATACATTCATGATTTTCGTTGATCATATCATTGCTTAACAGCTTCAACTTTCAACAAAAAACATCATGAAAATGAGAATTTAGTTAAGAAGTTTAAGATAGTCATGAATTACGCAGTAGTTGGAACCTTTTTGCTTTCATTCGTGTGATATTTGATAAAAAAACAGACTGATCGAAACAACTCTTGTTCTATTCACACAGCTCTCTCACTACAAAGATAAGATAAGACAGATATTCTATCATAAAAAAACCGTCTATCTACGTTTACTTTTTATTTTGGTTTACAGCATGGGATCCTTATTCTCGAACATACAAAATACTATTCTATTAGAAAGTAAAATCCATTTTCTCTCTTCATTATTTCTTGGCTGTTTAATTACAATTATCATTGTTCTTTGTATTACGTCGTCATTATATCTTCGATGTATTTTTGAAAGATTTATTCGAATTCAAATACGTAAATGGCTAATGGATCGAACTTTAAAATCACCAAATAAAAACCCATTTATATTGTACTACCGAAATTCACTTTGTTGTTTCCAGAAAATTAATGATGAATTGTTGGGAAAGATCCTTCAGAATAATCATTCATGTGCATTTTTTCTCGACCGATCAATCTCATTCTTATCTTCTCATCGACCATCTTCATCCTCGTCGATTGATCAAGGCTACGAATCCATTGATGACTTTCGAGCGAAAGTTCCTTTGAGTACCTACGATGATTATCGAAGTTATATCGATCGAATGATACACAATGGAGAACGACATCTACTTTCTTCTGATAAAATCATCTATTTTGCTGTTACTTCTGGTACAACTGGGAAGTCGAAGATTCTTCCTGTAACCAAATCTATGTATAGAAAAACGATCGCATTGACAAGATTGACCATGTCGTTGATTTGGCGATCATTACCTTCATCATCATATCCTTTCCCTGATCAACGACCATTCATCTTGTATATAGGAAAAAAAGCGAACATGTTTTCTCAATCAAAAGACAGAATACCAATCGGTCCGATTAGTCAACTCATGTCAGCTGTTTCTCCAATTCCTGGACTTAAATTTATCATGTCTATCTACAATATTATACCATTTGATTTAATTGAAAGTATTCCTGATTTTGAAACAAGTACATATGTTCAACTTGTTTTTGCATTAACAATTCCGAATATTTACGTGTATTCAGTTACTTTTGCTTCGGGATTTATTCATTCGATCAAATTAATCGAACATTACCACGAAGAAATGTGCCGTTGTATTTCTTTTTCGAATTTCGATGATAGCTCACTTGTTCGAAACAATGTTCATGATTTGAAAATTAGATCGAGATTGAATCGAACATTGAAAAAAGTTGCTCTGGAATATGGAGGATTATCGTATCGAATAGCTCGAGCAGAACATATTCATAAAGAATGTATGAAAAAAGATATGTCTGGTATTCTTTGTCGTCTATGGCCGAGTTTAATTTATGCATCGACTGCCACAGGAAGTACTTTTGCAATGTATAGAAAAGAAGTTGAATTTTATTGTGGAAGACAATTACCTATTATTAACCTTGGATTCTACGCTTCAAGTGAAGGATTTTTTGGTTGTCTAGCTAGTATTAATACCGACGAATATTTCCTACTTCCAAATATTGCATTTTACGAATTTATCAAAGAAGAAGACATTCATCAGGTAGATGTTTTTAAGTTGATAGATCATTTTATTTCTTAGTTAGACAAAAAATGTTCCGAACATATATACCGGTCAGAGTTCATTACAATATATTTTTATTGTATTATTCTTTTACTTGCAGGCTCAACCAAAGACACTTCTTATTTCAGATATTGAACCAGGAAATCGATATGAATTAGTATGCACCACTGAAGATGGACTCGTCCGATATCGCATGGGAGATGTAGTCACTTGTACACGATTTCTTTGTCGATCCGATGATTTGGTTCCATTACCCATCGATCAAGAAGAAATTCCTCGGATTCCACTTTTTTCAATAGCATATCGCATTGGTAGTTTATTGAATGCATTTGGAGAAAAAACAAGTGAACAGCATCTCATGGATGCTCTTCAACGGACATCTCAACAATGGAAAGAACAAGGAATTCCTCTAGATGTTTATGATTTTACCAGTTATCCGAAATTAGATGTATTTCCTCCACATTATGTCCTGTTTTTAGAATTGATTGAAGAACAAAATTCTAAGCAAGGATATAAGATTAGTGAGGAAAAGCTTCAACTTCTTCAAAACATGGTCGATTCGGAAATTGAACGACAACTTTGTCAAACAAATTTCTTTTATGACAATATTCGAAAAGGTAGCAAACTAGGTCCACTAGTCTGTATTCTTGTTCGAAATGGAACATTTTCCACTTTCCTAACAAATGTATTGGTCACTGATTGGGTTAGTCCGACACAAATCAAGCCACACCGATTATTGAAGAATGAAAATCATATTCAATATTTTTATGCCAATCAAATTAACATATCATCCTATTGAAGTAGAAACTTCCCGGATATTTTATCGATTCATTATATAATTATAAGCTTAAACAATTTCGAAGAACAAAAAGAATAGCCTCTTTTCCTTCTTTCTACTCTGTATAAGAGACAGTCCATGTAAGTCACGAGTGAAGGTGCTCAATCGATATCCTCCGATCAAGCTCATTTTTAAAATGTGGTAGAGGAGGATATTCGATGAATATTGGTCAAAGGTTATTCGAAAAATATTGAATTGTTTGCTTTCTATTGAATCTGAATCAAAAGCCCTAAAAACGTTCATATCCCCGAAAGACGATATAGTGCATCTGATATCTCAAGAATCGCTCCAACGACTGAGCTGCAATTTTTTATGCTTTCATACTTCATAGAGTTCTACATGTAAAATAAATTTCAGCTTCAAGCATCCATTGATTGGTATTCTGTGAATTTCACAAAATCAGTTCAAACCGTGTTTTTTTAACTTTGATGATTCATATCGCTGAACCGAAAACAGATACGAGTCTGAAATTTATTTTTAGGTTCATGTCAATTAGATCTCTCTATCGAAAAAAGTTCAGCTCCTTTAAGCGAACCATTTGACCAGAGCACCGTAGGCAAAGTTGGACTGTTCATCAAAAAACCAATTTATAGCTCGATTTTCTAGACTCATCAGATCTAGATTTTTGGCTGAGCTATACAGTCTCAGAGATAAAACTGAGGGCTATAAAATGACGTAAAAATAAACTTGCAACCAGCGAAAATGGCTTTGAATGCGAGTCATCTTTTCCACTAAAAATGCAAATAATGAACCTGTTTCTGGATATGCAGTATGAGCTGTCTCTTTAGTTACACCCACAGTCACACCCCCAAATAAGGAAAAAGTTTTGAAAAAACTATTCTTTCCGAAAAACTTTCCATCACCCGAAAGTTAGACATTCCTCATCTTTTAAAGATTTTAATTCTCTATCAGCAGATATATACCTTACATTGAAATTGCGTTTTTTGCTCGAGTAAAAAATTTCAGCGATTAAAATTATTTACTCGAACTCAGGAAAAAATTTTCCAAAAATGCTACTTTTTTAAAAAAAAGTATTTATTACCCGAAAGTAACATATATCTCGTCTTGTAGAGTATTCGATTCTCTATCAACAGGTAGATCCTTTACATCGAAATTCAATTTTCATCGGAGTCTAAAATGCTTCAGAATAACGGGAGTCAAGAAATAAAAGAAAATAAATTGAAGAAAATTAGTTTTTCGAGCATAGTGTAAAATTGGTATGGCTTCAATTGAAAAAAATATGGTTGAATAGGGTATGATCTGTTAAATAAATATAGAATATTCAGAGAAGCATAGAAGCTATAAAACTGTTAGGTTAGTATGATTGTTTTTATTATGAAGAATTTGGATTCGCTTGGAAGTAAATTAGTGCGTGTAATATATTACTGAATGCTTCAGAAAAGAAGTGTGTTGGCTCTAGGAAAAATGTTTACAATGAAAAGAGAATTTATAATTGAATTTGTGGGTTTGATTTTATTTGGAAAATGTCTTGCTCGTTATAATTATTTGAGAAGACTTTGTTTTTCTATAATCGAAATAAATAGTTTTATCTGTATATGAATCCTTTAACTTTTTTTTTAACGGTTGACATGTACGCCCATGACGGTCGCATAATCCCTTAAAATGGTGCTTTTCACTATTGGAAATTTTTCATTGGCTGATCCTCATACCCAATGAAACCTTTTCTTCTGTCGTGGTAGTGGTAGCTGTTTGTGTTGTGCCAGCTTTTGATCGATGCAAGTAAACTTCTTCGAACCTCCTAATCCGTCTCTCGAGAATATTAGGTAATGGTTCATCTTCGACGGATTGGTGAACTATGAGCACAAGGAAAGTAGAACACAAAATAAATTGAAATAAATATCAGGCTGGTGTGTGAGTGTCGGTGTGGATGTGGTAATGAAAGTTATCCTCTTAGATGAATTCCCCATTTCAGCTCCCACACCCAAATCCAAGACTATGACATCAATGGATTACTAAATAATTCAAATCGTATCATTTACTTGGTATGATAGGGTTTTACAATACCAACAGGGAGAGATATGTAAGGAGAGTCATTTTCCCACCAATAAGCCAAAATCATAGTTGAACATGAAAACTCTGAAGACTCTGCTTTAACAATTTTCAATGATTTTGTTGCAATTAATGCTTTTTCAATTATATTTCAATTCATTTCCGTCATCCCATGCAACTTCATGTTTACTTTCATTTTTCTCATATGCTCAACTTTTCTCGTGCTGAACGTCCGTGCTTACCTTTTCTAGCACTTATCGTTCTCGTGCTTATTCTTTCTATCCTCATCTTTCCGCGCTCATCGTTCTATTTCCCACTTTAGATTTAATAGAGAACAGGAAAGAGAATGTATTCGTCGAAAAATGTTACTAACGAGAACATTGTAAAAAAAAGATACAGAAATGAACAAAATTATATAAATGATAACGATAGATGATAATAGAAAGCGATGAAAGAAATAAAAGTTGATGAACTTTATTTGAAGCATATCACTGTCATCTATCATCATTATTTATGTAATTATGATCGTTTCTATATCTTTTTTCTTTACACTGCTCTCTATTTTGTCTAAAGTGAACTAGAACCGAATATTAGAAAAGACAAAATCTTTTATAAGGTAAGTTATGCTTATTTTAATGCATTAGATATGCTGTTGGACTTGTTAAGCAAGTTAAAAGTAATTGTTTTGAAGAACCATAAAAAACGAAAAATACTCCCGAAACAGATCAGGAAGTTGTCAAAATACCTAGTTTGTCATCATGCATTGCATCACTTGTTTGCAAATTCCTTTGCATAAAAAAGAAATCTGATGCTAATATACATGCGGTGTTAGATAGTTAATCACTTTAATTTCCATATATGCAAATAATACTTACTATGGTAAATAATCTATTATATAAGTTAAATGACATAAAACAAAACAGTTGAGCAAATATGTATGCTAGAAAAATGAAAAGGATATGGAGTGTAGGTGTAGCTATCCTAACTCACTTTTGCCATCAACAACCACTCTTCACCTACACCCACACCCGATGAGTGTACGATTATGAGACCGTAAGGCCTTGATTTATATACACAATATCGCGTGTCTGTGTCTTTGTTATCGGAAAAAAAGTTATACGTCTGAAGTCAGTCGTTAAAGAAGAAACAAGTTATGTAGTATGCACAGGCTCTTACTAGTAAGCGTATAAGGGATAGAGGTATAAGAGAATAGGCCTATAGATAGGTATTACCGTAAGAGTATAAGACTGCGAGCATTAACGGTACTAAGGTTACAAGGTTTTCAGCTCCATCTACATATATGAACCAGAATATCAGATTATCGAATACAAGATCGAGCTTAAAATATACATGTGAAAGTTTTTAGGGAAAAGAAGTCGTGCAGTATGCACTAGTCCTCGCCAGAGTTACATATTTGACGAGACAATCATTGTTGTCGTTTACTTACTAAAGACTTATCATTTATCAGCACTTGTGAACGGGAACTCAATAAAACAATACGTTTGGCAGCACCAGTTATATTTATTGATGATCTACCACAAGTTGTACTAGCTAATCCTGACAAATAATGACATTAAAATTTCGTGTCTTTGCTGTTTTTTTTGTTCGTACATATAATAGTTCTTCTCTCAGAGTTGTATGCAAAAATAATTCTTCGAAATGACAGTATGGATTCTTTGTAACGTCGAATCAGTGTCTAGTTTTAAAAATTCTTTCTTTCCATAATAGTTACTATTTCGAACTACTGTTATTTATTCATTCATACTCAAACTATTGTTTGATCCCTGCTAGGTCAAAATCTTCTTTAAAAGTGATGGTATAGCACTAAAAATTATACTAAACTGTCATGCTGTTCGAACGTTCTTGGTCTAGTATCAGTTTTGAAAGTTTAGAAGGGCTTGAGTGCTGTTTTTCATAATTTTATTTACCAAGAAGAATTTCATAGTTATTAATGCCAGTCTTCTACTGATCAAATGAGCAACTCAAGTATTGGTTAGTTTTTAATAAACGATTCTACATTTAAGTTAATACATATTTCGGCAGGATAAAAAACTCTTCACATTACTTATACTTGCCCTATCTGCCTGTGTGTGCCGTCTATAAAGTATGTGAGTGTAAAAAAAAGCCCAGCTTGAGATTATTAACCATTGAGATGGCGGTATTTTATTGCATAAGAAAGAATGGTAGCCGTGTAGGTGTAGTGATAAGAGATAATAGAGTTTGAGAATGATTGAGAAAAAAAAGGCCGATGACAATATCAAGCATGTTTTTATGTCAATGAGTAGCTGATGATGTGATGTGTGCTTATGGATATCCATTTCGTAATTACATTTACCTTTATATCCATACTTATACTCCATCTTTAGCAGAATTACTTAATAACAACGCGAAAATTTATGAGATTTTGTTGATGGCATACAACTTTTTGTTGCTTTTACACGAGCAACATATTTTTTCTGTTACTTTTCTTTTTGATATCCTTTGTCTCAGTCAAATTGAGAAGTTATTTGAAACAAGTATGAATCAGTAAAATTTGTCAATTTTCTCTTACGTGACTGACCATCTCATTGAAAAATAGGAAATACTTCCGTTTGAGATTAGTCAAGATTTTCTATCTACTATCAGAAAGAATCTTAAGGTAGAGAATGTCAGTTAAGAGACGATGGATCTTTATTCACAGCCATACGGAAATGTTGAACTGATATTATTAACTCATCAGTTTAGATTTTAGACTGTCTGATCTAGTCTACTCGAAGAGAGCATACCACATTTTACAATTAGCTGTAACACATATAATAATTCATTATGCTACGTCTCTACGAGGACAAGGCTCTCTCTCATTTATCCATCATACTTTTCAAACCCTTTTCATACGTTGAAACGTTAAAAAGATCTTTGAGAGTTGAAATAAAAAGGATTATTCTTAATTATTTTTTTTTTAATTTCTTTTTGTAGTTGTCAACATGGGCTGTTCAAGTAGTTTATTTGCTAGCCACAAATTGAATCGTTCACGTTCTCTCGATCTACTTAAAAATCGATACAAATCTGATTCGATTGAGAATGAATTTATTTTGACGGGTTGGGCCAGCATCGTGTCTCGCATTGAACTAGTCAAACATTTGCCTGATTGTACAATTAAGGATGCTGTAGATAAGATTAAGGCGACCGATGAACTTCAGAATGATAAAAGTATGGACAAAGTCTATATTGCACTTGAACGAGCTCAATCTGAATCCGATATAACTCATCTTGTTTATGCCTACACTATCGAGAGTAATTTCTATAGAATATTGAATAGAAAACTTTCAAATTTATCTGTCTCGAACAATCTAACAGAGTATTTAACGGCAATGTTTATTAAGACTAGCAAGAATCATAATGATAAAACAGTAGATTGGCCACTTTATTTTACTAGTATTATATTGAAAGGTGTCAATACTGTGGGATCACCTTTGAAATGCTGTTGTGGTCGCACATATCGTGGACTTACTATTACAAAACATGACTTGTCGCTTTATAAAGTTAATTCACTCGTTATTCAAAAAACTTTCTCGTCTTCATCAAAACTTCGCTCAATGGCTGAAATATTTGCTCAACAACCCGAATTTGGACGAATGCCTGCTTTATTCGTATTTATTATGGATGTTACTAATACATTATGTATTGATTTAGCAGGTATCTCCGAGTATCCAAATGAAGAAGAAGTACTAATCCTTCCTCTTTCTATATTTATGGTGACAAAAATTGATCAAACTAAACGTAATGGTTATATTGAAATTGAATTGAAAGCATTTACGTCAGAAGAACTATTAGAATCAACTATATCTCAGATGTTTAGCATAACTACTCCTATTAATTTAATCGAATCAACTGCAAACTATCTTGATCATTTAAGCTTGGCTATACTGAGGAAAAGCACAAGTCACAAGGATCTCTTCGACAGTATTCTTAATCAAAGTGATGATAATGATGGGAATAACGATGAAACCGAACATATCAACGAAAATAATAATCATGATGAGAAACGAAATGCCATTGAACAATGATGAAGACAATGAATGTGACAAAGAAAGAATGCGCTATTTTTTAAAACATAATCGATGTTTCGTATGATCAGATAAATCGCTTTTCCATCAATAGGTAAAAGTATCGGTGAGAAAAAAAACTTGAATTATGGACAAATTTAAGTCAGAAAAATGAGTTTATACTTCTAACCTAACACACCTATTTTGTATTGTTAGACAACAAGTATGTATGATACTTGCATTTCATCAATTGCTCGTAATATAAATCAATGTTTGCTTTCACTTTAGGTTAAACAGTTTTATAATGTTGTAAGTTATTCATTGTAATTTTTATCTTATTATCAAGAAGAAATGCGTAGAAATGGAATTTTTGAAAGAATATAAAATTTTGTGAATTAATACTGCTTTGGTTTGAAGTAGTGGTTTATAATAATACTCAGTCATTCTTTTATTAAAAATACAAAAGTGAGATAAGGTGTTTCGTATAGAGCAAAATAAATCACAGTTAATCGTCAGACACATGTATAATATATTTTCTGATGATTGGTTCAGGCGGTTTTTCTTTAATAGACTTATTCAACTACAGATAGATGCATAACTCTGTGAGAGTTGCTTGTAATAAATCAATCATTCGATGCATTATTCTTAATCTGTATGTAACAACAAACTTTTAGGAGAATTAAAATGACTTAAACGTCCTATCGTTATTTAGTCATTCAACTTGTTCTTGGCTTGCGAGTTTTTACCATGGTAGATTGGATTATTCAACTTGATGAGGAGGAGGGGGGGCATACCTACTAAGAATAATAATAGATCTCGGTTTAACAGTAGTCATACTGAATATCATACTATTTATACAAAAAGTTTTAACAACTTTTATATATTTTATGAAAGTTCTTCTATTTAGATCATTATCGTTTATTTTTACTATTAGTGACGTCACCATCTGATCTTTGACAGAGATCGAAAAAAAATTTACTTTATCACGTTTAATATATCTTTTTTTTGTCATTATTTGCTTTTTTTTGACAAATCTTACATAAAATCAATCAAATATTGCTTTAAAACTTATTTGACAAGAAAAACTGGTCGATTTTTAAACGCTAAGTATGAGTGAAAATAAAAATCTCTTGTTTACTAATTACCAATTAATCATTCATCTTTAACTTGATGAATTCTCTATAATACATACATTATCAAGTAAGAAACAACTAATTTACATTAAAATATGTTCTGAGACATGCTTTTATATGCTGCTCATTTTTTAGAGAAATTTTTGAACAATAGATATCTAAATACATGTAATCTATTATTGTGAAATTTGAGGCAAATATATTATATGCTTTTAAACAAAACTTGCTTACAATCTAGTATATCCTCTTAAGCATTGACACATTTGTGACGATTTTTAGATGGAAGAAGAGTTAGCGCTGATGAAACTACGCTTTATTGTATTTCTTCCTATCAAGGAATCACGCCGTTTACATACAACGAATACGCTAATATACTCTTCCATGAAGGAGAATGAGAGAAAAGTATAAAAAGGACAAAAACCGAATGTAATATGATACGGATTGAGTACAGTAAAAAGAATTCTAAGAACAAAAATATAAAGACAATATATATGATGAGAAAAACTAGTAAGTGGAGGAAAAACGCCATGCATACAATGCATGCTACGGATGTGTTACAACATGCATTCACAAACACACACATACAGCAACCTGCATAGAACTATAAAACTCATGATTAATAGTCGTCACGTTGTTTAAAAGGGAAAAGAACGAAAAAATAAAAACTACACGAATAATAAACGACACAACCTTGTATTGTATATTCATGTGTGCAAAAATATGACAAGTGAAAGCTTCAACAGTTCAAACAATGACTTCATTGTCATTTGGTTAGATGGTGCTATTGAATAGACTAAAGATAGTTAAAAAACAAAAGCACTTTTACGACGACTCGTTAGTGGTCATTTATTAACGTTTGACGACCCAGACACATGTATTGCTAATTTAACTGATGAACCAACAACAAAACGAGTATTTCTTATTATTTCAAATACATTTGATCCTAATGTTGTACCAGTTGTACATGAAATTCCATTCATGCGATCAATATATGTATTTTGTGATGATAAAAAAAAGGGCTGAAACATAGGCTAAACCATATTCAAAAATTCCAGGTATATTTACACAGAGACAACCATTGTTACAGAAAAGTAGTAGTGATATTAGTTTTTGTGATAGAAATGAAAGTTTTCCTATGAATATATTTCATCTTTCAGAACAACAGTATACATTACAGCAATTAACTAAAAAAAAGTGAAACATTTATGTGGTATCGATTAATATTGACAGTTGTTCGATTAATGACAAACTATGGTAATTCAAAAGATGAAACGATCATGGAGTGTGGAGCCAGTTATTATATTGATGCAAAAGAACAAATAAAAATAAATTATTTCGTACAATGTTATTCTCCAGCAAGAGCATTAGATTGGTATACAGCAGATAGTTTTGTATATCGATTATTGAATACGGCTTTACGGACACAAAACACAGAAATTATATTTAAATTTCGATTTTTTTTATCAATGATCTTCATCATCAAATTGAATAACTTTATTACAAATATTTAGAGAATCAATCTATTATTAGTCGTCAAAATTTAACAGTTTATCGTGGACAACGTTTACGTATGAAGGAGATTGAGCTACTTAGAAATAATGTAAATAATCCAATTTCAATGAATAGCTTCTTAAGCACTTCATTAAAGCAAGCAGTGGCAAAGATTTTTGCAGATACAAGTGACCAAGTAGATAAGTCATTTCCACCATTACAATCTGTTCTTTTTATTATTGATATTCAAAATATAACTAAAGAAATGCACCATTTGCAATTGTAAAAGACACTTCGTGTTGTTCAGAAAATGAAAATGAAGAACAAGAAGTATCTTTTACGATAGGTGCTGTTTTTAAGGTTCAATCAATCAAACAACTCGGCAATATGTGGCATGTTCATCTACAATTAAATAAAGAAAAAACCTTATCAGTCAAAATCTTTCGAATTACATGATGAAACAAATCGGTTCGGAACGAAACCCATTGTTACTCGGTTGGTTTCTTTTTCGAATAAATAAATTTGACGAAGCTAAACGTCATATAGAATTAATACTTAAACAACTTCCATGGAATGATAAAGGGAAAGAAAATGCTTACGATTTACTAGGTCTCATGCATAAATCTGCTCGCTGTCTCGAAAAGTCTAGAATTTTATGAAAAAACTCTTGATATTTTTTCTTGATTGAATTGTGATAATGATTCTCAAGCTATTGCTACTTATTATAATCTTGATTTAGCTTATTTGGAATTAGGAGATAGTCGAAGTGCAGAAGAACAACAAAGACAAGCCGAAGAGAAATTCTAATCTTCACAAACAAAGAATCTTTTACTTGAGGCTCAAGTGATAAGTCTAAAAGGAGAAATTGAAGCCGAATATGGTGATATTATAAATGCATTGAAAAGTGTTGAACAGACTTTAAAACGTAAATAACAGCGATTATCATCAATTGGTCCATCGATAGCATCAACATTGAACTCGATATGTCATGTGTATGAAAAATTATGTAACAGTACTTGAACATTTTCAAAGAGCATTGGAAATGGGTAAGAAAACTTTGTCACCTGATAACATGGATTTAGTTGATTATAATATAAATGTTGTTCGTACTTATGATATATTAAAACAATTAAAACTTGCTGTAGATCATTTTGAATCATCTGTAAAATTATGAAAGAATATTCACGAGATGATGATGATAGGCTTCAAGAACTAAATAAACAGATCATTGATACAAAAAAAGAAATTATCTCGTTCGTAAATTTATGAAGGAAAATTTCTTTTTTAACATATTTTGTATTCGTATCATCAAGTGCAAAAACCTTATATGAGTCCAATATTATAGTGTCAACATGACTATTACACGGATAAACTTTTTATTGAATGATAGTTTATCACCTAAATAAATCAAAAATGAAAATGAACGAACATATATTTCATAAACGAATATTAAACATATAAAAAAGAAGTATGTTCAATGCCAATGGCAGTCGAAACTATAACAATGCTCAAATAATCGCTTAACAAAATAACTATTTGCTTATGTAGCATAATCTTTAATCCATTTCTTATTTTAAAATGTTCGTTCGAAAAAAAACTAAGCTTCAATATTTTGTGAATGATTATATGGAAAAACCGGCAAAACTTTATAATAAATGTTAGGATGTTCAGAAATGGTTGGTCACCCCTCCTTTTTCTGAAAGTTCGTTACAGATCGCCGCTTATGAAACGATTGCGAAATTAATATTTTGACAAAAATATCATATTTTTTAAAAAATTAATGAATTAGTTAGGACTTCAATTGTTAATAATATAATTATTTCAGTTGTTGGGTTCCGCTGCATACAATCTTTTACTGGTTTCTGCTCTATGTATTGCGTCTGTGAATTCTTCTGAAACACGAAGAATAAAGTCATATCATGTTTTCTTAGTAAATATTATTTTCATTGAAACTTATCACATAATAATAATAATACTGATTAAAATAGATTACGTCCTTTCTTAGTTTATTTGCATACATCTAGTTGTTCATTATATTATCAGTAATATCAAAAGATGTTATTGATCTTTGGGAAGCACTGGTTACATTTCTTTTACTTTCATTGATCGTTATATTAGCCTATCTGGTATATAAACAAAAAATCATCTAAGTTGACTAATCGTTTTTCTTTGTATATAATTAGGTTAAAAAGAAATTTTTTGATTCAAGCAAAATTGGCATTGAAGAAGAGAAACAAATACTTAGCTTAAGTATAATACGTCAATATTTTATTAAATAAAAAAAATGTACTTCATATGATCTTTTAGCATCATCTGAGATAGATAGACTTGACAGCCTAGTTCATTTTTGTACTGATGAACTTGTTCAATTTTTAAGAGTAATTTAATCATATTTCAGATTTACGATTCACCTAATCATGTTCAAAAAGTTCGTAAATATATTTAAAAAAAAAACTTTTTAATCCTTTTTATATCTATAAAAATATTAAAACAGATATATAATGCAAGCAAAATAAAGAAATTCCATAGAAAATGATTAATCAACATCGGTATTAGAAGAAATCGATGATCAACCAAAACTCCAATTTTCTGCCGCTGCTGCATATGCTGTACTCGAATGTGAACAAAGAGTTGAAGTTAAAATTGAACGAATCGGTTCGATTCAGGTGTCTATATTCATTCGTTTCTGCATTAATACCTTTTTCAACTGATCTCAAGTCAATGATTCGAGAAAATGGATACTGCAGGAAAACATTGAAAATCACTAGAAATGAAAGTATTCCAACGAGAAAATTTTCGTGCTTTCTGACAGAAACCAATCCGTACTATTTGATTTGGGAATCATTATTTGAAATTTTCAAAATATTCCAAAAACCTTTTTGTCAAAAATTACAATTTAACATAGAATTAAAATAGTTTTATACTCAGAAACTGCATTTTATGTCTGTTTTTTTTTAGTTTTTTGCTACTGCATATTCCTTAACAATAACAAAACATTATTTTATATTAAACAAAGTACTTATATGTTATTCATTTATAGACTGAATACAGTTGATGGTACAGCAACAGTTGGTGAAGATTATATTAGATAACCTGAAGAATTTACAATTGAACGTGGTCAAACTGAAAAAAAGAATAACTATTCATATTATTGATGATAATCAGTGAGAACCAGATGAAACATTTTTTGTTAAAATCTCATTATCTGAAGGTGAAGATGCTCGTGCAAAATTAGGTCCGCAAACAATTGCGCTTGTGACAATTATTAATGATGATGGTAAACAAATTTCATAAAAAAAAGATATTTTCTTTCTTTCTACTTATCATAGAATCGGGTTTAATCCAATTCGAAAATGCAATTCATTTATGTAAACGAAGTGTTGGAAAAGCAAAAATAAAAGTTGTACGTGTTAATGGTGCCGATGGACGAATTTCTGTAAATTGTCGAACAAAAGATATTGATGCTAGAGCAACAAGAGATTATGAACGTAAGTCGAACAAGTTGATAAGATAATCTTGAGTAGCCCAGAATAAATGGTGCTCTCAGTCTTTTGAAAACTTTTTTCCTAATTTCTATGGTTCAAACTAAAAGATTCGGGGCGAAGTTCCGCATAAAATAATATATACCGCTCAAGATGTTTTTTTGTTTTTCTTTGATATTTCATTTTGGTCCGTATATCATAGTGATTGTCTTTATTACACGTCTCCAACTCATGACATGAGGTAGTTCGTGCTAATTAATCTTATTTCAGACAAGCTAGTTTGTTCATAAAATGGATAGCCATTCATGATACTACAGATCGAAATGCAATATCAAAAAATAACTTAGCGCCTCTCCAAAAAATCTCTATGGATGTTCATTATATGAAAGAGCATGTTTGGATGCAGTACCTATGAGGATCCTTTGTTTTTGTTGATATCTTTATGAAGATTAAAAAAGGGTTTCATAAGTTCAATCATTCAAAAAAATGGTGTTTGTATAATAAAATGGCTTATCAATGTAATAACAGTAAAGCTTTATTGAAAAGAGACCTCTTATAAGCACTGTAATTTTTTTGTGCTCTTTTTGAGTAAGTGTTTCGAAAAAAGAAAATATCAAAGTACCATTATTTTTGTATCAATTACGAAAGAGCAAATGAGAGACTATATTTATCTCAATTTCAATGATTTTGATGAAAAATGACTTTTTTGAGGAAGAATCTGAAGGGAGTCAGATAATATAGGAATAATGCTACATGCATGGGCTTATCCTAGTAATTTCACAATTTCCAAGTCTGCTAAAACTCTATTTCAATTTTCTTTAACTTTTTATCTTCTACGATAATATACTCCGAAACAAAAAATGAATACTCTTTTTCTTTTGTATGGTCTTTAGCGATTGACAGTGAATTACTCTTTGAACATTGTGAAATATCAAAAGTGATAGCTATACCAATCATGAATAATCCTGAACATAAAAAAGATGTGAGTTTTGAAGTTGAATTATATAATCCGACCGGTAGCATACAAATAAGAAAACAGAATAAAACTATTGTAACAATTATGAATGATCATGGTAAAGTCTTTTTCTTTTGTGATAAAAAAAAGAAGTGAATTTGATTTCAAATTATTTAGATCATACAATAATGGCGAATAGAATGAGATTACTTGTTGAACCCAATATTGATAAATTAAGAGTAACAAAAACAACATGGAGACAACAATTTACTGACGCTATGAATGCAAATGGTGGTGATTTAGAAACAACTACATTTGCTCATTATATTGGTGATTTTCTTTCATTTCTTTGGAAATTTTTATTTGCCTTTGTACCTCCAACATCGATAGCTAGTGGTTGGTTAACATTTTTCATTTCATTTGTTTTTATTGCTATACTCACCACTATTGTCCATGATGTAGCTGCTGTATTCAATTGTCTTGTTGGATTAGAAGATAGTATAACAGCTATATTATTTATTGCACCTGGTATATCATTACCTAATACATTTGCAACAATGATAACAGCAAAACATTCCAAAACAGCTGATGATACTATTGGAAGTATCATAGGATCGAATAGTGTAAATGTATATGTGGGTCTTGGTTTACCATGGCTTGTTGCTGCTATTTATTGGAAATTGAAAGTAGGAAAATGTAAAGATTTGATTGCAGGAAAACGAAACGAATAAATTATGTTTACTTTTAAGAATCTTCCATTTACAGTTAAAACAGGTGATTTACCATTTAATGCATTCATCTTTTCTATCTGTGGTGTTCTTTGCGTGATCGTATTTACACTTCATCGATTTTTGGGTGTTTTTTGGCAAAGCAGAACTAGGTAGAGAGGAAAAAAACAACCTTTTCCTTGTTTGTTTTATTGGAGTTCTAGGTGGACCAAAAATATCGAAATATATATGTTCGATCTTTTTTATTATTCTTTGGATTACTTATTTGACATTATTGGGTCTTCGAGCATCTGTACACATGACATGGTAAAGTTAAGAGAAAAAAAAAAACAGAACAATTACTAATGAAAGACTTATTATTATAATTTTTGCTTCTTTTATTATATTTATATATTCATTTTTATTGCATTGCGAGCTGCTTTTTTTTGTAATAACATATATGCAATAAAAGGAAAATCAAATGATGAGATTTCTGTTTTCAATGAACAAAATCATTATTTATTTTTTTATGAAACATATTAGTGAACACATTCTTATTTATTATAATACAGTATTGTCTTGTCTCCATGTTTTCATATCTTTATCTCATTATCCTTTATCAAATGTAGTAATTACAATGATTTCTTTTTTATTACTTACAGTCACTAACAAATCTTCATTGAAATATTTTTCTTATTTACAATAAACAAACTTTAGCTTGTTCCTTCTTTGTTCAATCTGACTACCGTAAATATCATCCTGATTGAGATTTAGCTACTGTTAGTCATATGTACTACAGTAGTTACATATTCCATGCATTAGTTTTAGTACCACAACATAAATAATTTCATTTTTTTCAATAGAAATAACTGTAATAGGAGAATAGTGTATGTCTGTTAAAGTTAATATTTATACTCACATCTACGTGTATTTCTCATAGGGACATGAGTAGGAGTATATCTGTCACTCTNATTATCACTATATTCATTTATTTCAAGTTTTCAACAATGTTCTTCATCAAAATCACCATCGAGACAATGCACTTGCCCATCACATATTTCACTCCAATCTAAACATGCTGGAAAAGGACCACGATTACATTGTAAATGAGTATAACAGGTGAAATTAGTAGAATTATATTCATATAAAAGATAATAATCACGAATTATTTCATATAAAGATGAATGATTTGAATGATAATAAATAATTTCATATTGACACATAGAGCCAAATCTTGATAGTGTACAATTATAGAAAACTTGTTTTTCGAGAGATATTAATTGGATGTTAATAATTGATTTAAATAGAATTGATAACGTTCAACAAGGTCGATCGGTGCTGACCAAAGATATAATTGTTGACTAGTAATACTCAATTTTGAAAGTTCACCAAATGTAAACTTTGGAAAGATATCATTGTCTTCTATATGAAATTTTGACGGCAATTCATTCATACAATAAGATATAATTTCATGATTAACATTTGCTTCATCATTAGAAGCAGCAACACGCAAACAATTGTGTTGTAATACAGTATTAATTTCATTTTCACTTAGCCAATCTGTATAATGAAGATTGATTTGCGGAGTAGCAAAAATGAAATGTAAGAGAATGAAACTGAATAGATATCTCATATGAAACATAATCTAGTTATATTATAGAGACAAATGAATAGATAAATGGCTATGTATAAAGTTCATATTTAATTCGTTCTTTTTTCTTTCTTTTTTTTTTTTATAATAGTCATGAAGAATTGTTAACTTCCTCCCAGTTTTTGATATCATATGATTGAAATCGTTTGTTCCTGCTTGATTGACGTAGTTTCTACGCAGTTCCTGAAAGACTATTAATAGTTAGAATAGCTGATGATTCTTTTCTAGCCTTAGTTATTAAGCAATTTTCAGCCGCTGATCTGATTACATTTTTCAGTTTTAACAGTTTATTTCTTAATTGATAGATTTCTCCATCTATTAAATGGAAAATTTAAATGAAATTTACAAATATAGAAGATGCGTCATGATGAAAGTTAACAATTCCAATGAATTTCATTTAATAAAATAATTATAAAACAAGTAATTATTGATATTGATTCCATATAACAGTGGTAAGTGGATAAGAATTCAACATGAATTTAAGAAGAGTGATGTCTGTAGTTTTTAAACTTAGAATTCGAAAGGAGTTGCATGATTAACATAAAATAATATGTGTTTGATGATAAATTTAGAATTAGGAAAACACAGTAATGTGCTTCTATCAATATTAATTCTTTAATCTATTAACTGATGAACATATGTGTGTGTTGATGTATGAATAGGACAAGTAGGCGACAGCAGTGAAATTCATTGTGATTTTTTTCTCTATCGACAGTAGAGTTTAAAAGAATGTTAGGCTCCGACGACAGAAAATGTTCAACTTATTTTTGTCTTCTCGGAGTGATGCGACTGAAAATATTCGATGATACTCTTTAAATGTTTCTTGGTTTCGAAAGACTTTCATATGGAATCGGTATTAATAAGACACTCTCAAAGTCCTTCGAACCACCGTTCAACTTGAAAAAATTATCGATCAAAAAAATTTTTGAGTTTTCCGTTCATGAGATCCAACATCATCCAATTTTCTTTAAAACCTATTTGATAAAAGAATAGTCCAGGCTTAACGAGAATCGATCGAAACAATATTTGAGTTTTATATTAAATAGCTTTTAAAGAAAACGGTTTGGTGTTCGCCCAGGGTATGGGTGTGTGTGAACGTTTGTGTTGATGCGGATCTGTAGAATTTCTATACCCGCGCTCACGCTCACACCCACACATCGACATTCTTCGACGAAACAAAATTTTTTTTTGAGTACCGCCACCAAATTCCATGTAATGATCAAATTAGGACGAAAAAATATATGGAGTGATACAATTAAGTCAGCAGTAGAACGAGAAAAATGACGACTTCATCTTTTTGTATTCACGATTACTCATTAAAAAATAGTTAATCTTCAAAAAAAAAATCGACCGACCTGAAGTGCCAATGGGTTTATTCCGAAAAAAAAAGAATATTTTCAAACGAATTCAAAGTCTTTTGAAGAGGCTAAGATTTTTCGTATTATTTTTTTCATATCACCAATCAACTCAAATTCAAAGGCAGAACCACCTTCGACAAAAAATTGCTCATATCAATGAACAATGAACATAAAGCGTATACGTATGTTTGTGTTCATATAGGTTGCTGAACAATTGGTATAAGACAAACCTTGTTATTGTTTGTCTACTTGACATACATTAATTATTATTGATTGCATTCTTTTTTCATGTAACTGTCTCGTATAATGTATACAAACGCATTAGATAATTGACAGTAGTTTACATTCTTTCGTTGTTTTTTCAAGATATCGTTAATATAAGGATAAGATTTTGCATATATATATATGTGCGTGTGAAAGAAAAAGAAAGTAAGTGATGGCATCGCATTATAGCATAATTTTCATTGTCGAAACAGTGAGTAGTCTGCATTATTTAAAAATTGTATGCATTCTTTTTTCGAAAAATATACTTTTGATCACCAAAATAAGATACAAATGATCACCATTTTTTGTTGTTGTGAAATGATCACCAAAAAAAGAGACATTTGATCACCAAGTTAATTAACTTGTAATGTTCGATAATATATTACTTTTATGAGATATAGATAACATGGTCTTGATAAATCGAATGTTTATCGTGAACTTTAATTGATTAATATAACAGAGTTAACTCTGAAAGAGCTAAATTCATTTTGTTGAAATGATCCAATTAATAAAAATAGTTTAAAAAGCATATTTTGTCATGAGAAATTATTCCATAAAAATGTCTAATAATGAATGGAAATTGCTACACATTGCTAAATCACATGAAGAAGCAAAAGAATTCGTTACAGAAAAGTACAATATTTGTCAATATCGACGATCAGATTTAAAAAACGAAACCAAATACTCATTCAAATGTAGCAAATACAGAACATATCCATTATGCTCATTTGAAATAAAAGTTATTGTGGCTGACAACAATATGGAATCAATTAAAATAATGTCAAGAAATACACATCAACATGAAGAAAGAAT